GTGGCCGTAGCAGGCGGGCACCCTGGTCCTACAGTGCAGGCTGGGAACGACGAGCGAGGCAGCGAACTCCTCTAGCATTGGGTCGACCCACGCGGGAGGCCCCGTGCTCGCCCACAGCTCCAACACTAGCGGATCCAGCTAGGGGAAGCAAAGTGCAGCATCAGAGGTAGCAGCGCTGTCGTCATGGTCGATAGGCGCACCCACGCTGCTGTCCTCTGTCATCTCGCTCTAGCGTCGCCAGTGTCGTCGTCGGACTCTACCGGCACTTTACACGACACCCTGCGCGGCCCCATCCAAGCGCGGTGGAGCGATGTGGGGTGCGTGCTAGGAGGCCGTCGGGCCATGGGGCGCGTGCTAGGAGATCGTTGGGTTGCCACCACGAGCGGGCATGGGCCACTTGCAGTCCCTAGCGAGGTGACGGAAGCTGTGGCAGCGCAGGCAACGCCGGACAATTGGCAAGTCGCTACTCAGTGCGACTAGGAGAGGCAGTTGAAGCATCTGCCATGAAGCTCTGCGGGGATCTTCTGGGCCTATGGAAGCTGCTTTGGACCGCGGCGAGGCTCAACCAAGGCGGCCGTAGGGTCCTGTCTCCTGCCGGGGGAGGATTTCAAGCCACCCATAGGCATTGGGGATGGAGACCCGTCCACGGTGGCCAAGGCGTTGGCGGGCAGGGACATGGCCATCCATGGGACGAGCAGGCATGCCACACAGCAGCTATGGGCGCGGCCGGCTACGCTTCCTCCACCTCCGGCCAGGTCCCTTCTAGCCAGGGTCGGCTCCACCGTGGCCCATAACCGCGACAGGGCAAACCTGGGTGCTTGCGGTTGGCGCACTGACCGCCTTCGTCGGGCGACGAGCGACGTCCAGGTAGGTTGTGGGGTGGTCGTCGTCGGACTCGTCGCCACCGTCGTCCACCCACCAGCAGCGTATGGATCACCCACCCTAGACTGGGTAGAAAGGAGCCGCGTCCGGTGAAAGGGGGGAGCTAGGAGTGGCTCGTGGTGGCGCGGCGGCAGGATGATGGGACAGCGTCCCCGCAGGTGGCTGCACCTACCCAGTCCCCGTCATGGCCGACGGTCACCGTCCGGCGCAGGCGGCGGCATGTAGGGGTCGGATCTAGCCTGCACGTGCGGCCCCGTGGCGGTCACGGTAGGCCCCAGCGGCGGCTACAGAGGGCTGCTGCTAGAGGTGGTGGCTGCCACGGTGGGGTCTGGCGTCATCCGCGTCCACGGTGGGGTGGGGAGGACGCCGCTGTAGAGGAGGTGGTGGCCACCGTGATGGGGATGGCGTTGCTGCAGCTGTTGGAGATGGAGATGGCAGCCGTGGTGGCGGGGCCAGACGTCGACAGTCACGCGGGCGGCGCTCCGTCGCCAGATCCCACAAGGGTGGGCTCATTGGCGGCAGCGGCGCAGGCGGGCCGAGATCCCAAGAAGGCTCACCGGCGCTGGTTGTCGCGGGGGGTGTCGGGTGTGGGGAGGGAGGGGGGAGGAGGGGCAGGGGGCGGCGCTGCTGCCGGCGGCGGTGGCGGCGTCGCCAGGATTCGGCCGCCTAGGGTTACGCTACTCGTGGGCCTCGCTGTACTTTACAATATTGCCGAGTGCACGGGTTCTAGATACATAGGTTTTTGCTATGCACTTGGATATACACTATGTCTAGATACATAATAAAGGCAATGCATCTAGAAATGTCAAAATGTCTTATAATTTGGAATATAGGGAGTACGTTTTAGCAGATCGGACGAAGTAATATACATGCTGGGAGCTCAACTATTTCTTGAGATACCAATCAACATGAAGGTTAACTTTTTAAGAAGAAAAAAATCACTTGATATGCTTGTAATGAATGATATGTTTCTTTAGTGAAACCCGACAGATAATGTGTGGGAAATATCCATAAATAACATTTCATTTTCATTGTTTTTTAGTTATAGATGCAAACCGGCAGCTCAACTATTTCCTAAGATACCAATCACATGAAGGTTAACTTTCTAAGAAAAAAATAAGAACCTTAATACCACCAGGCTCACTTTGTTAGATGAAGAGAAAAACAATCCTATTTTATTCTTATCATCTTACACTATAGACTTCTAGGATGAACATTAAATCATACAGCATAATAATGGCAAATTATTGTTCCCGCTGGTTACACTACTAGATTAATATAAGCCTCACCTTATTATTCTAGGCTTCCTTAGGGTAATCAAGTATATTGATGTTATCTAGGTGGTTTCATTGAGTATCATGTAACGTTAGAATATAATATCCCTAGTTATGTGTAATAGCCCTCGGGTCTTTGAAAAGGATATATTGTGAGTATGGCATCGGCATGCACCGTATTAAGAAAAATTTACACGAATCTAGTAGAAAACCCTAAATCGACCTCAAATTCTATAAGCACAACTCCAAAAGACTACAAGCGGTTGTTGCTCTCTTACTGCTCTACTTGACACACTTTAGGACATACTGATTCTTGCCCTTTATAAGAATCTAGTGCAATAAAATTGTCTAGCCTAATCCTCTTGAGTGCTCTTAATTGCTTCTTACAAGCATTGGATGGAACTCTTATGTTGGCTTGGTTGATACCTATGGCACCTTGTTTATATAGTCTCTTCCAAGGCTCTCAGACATGCAAGTAGGAGACACTCAAGTCATAATAGAATTACAACCCTAATAGCACACCTCTCTTGAGTCCCAGTCCAAGTAGAATTTGAATCATCATACAACACATAATATGAAGATGACTTAGTAGGCAAGCCATACAATGGGTTGTCTCTTAAGTTCAATTGTAAAACAACTGCATATTTCTCTCATGTTCATCTCTATCCTTCATATTATTTAAAATTCTATGTAGCACAGCATGAAACAAGCTATGAGATTGATGACGTGTATCAACGCAATTTCCTTTAAAAGTGAAACCACATCAAGTACCTCCTAGAAACAAGTGTAGTACCCCCTCCATTCATAAATGTACATAATTTTAGCATTTAAAATTTGTCTAAAATTTAAGCAATCCTGCTATTATCCACCCATCCCTTCTCATCATTAATTAGCATATCTTTTAATTACTACTACGGTGTAATTAGGATATTTTAAATTTAATTTGTGTATGCAAATTATAACATCTCGATAGAAAATGTAGTGATAATTATGACTTAAATAATATTATGGTAATCTTACTTCCTTTATATGATAGGATTTGAAAATACCAGTGGTTTGTTTTTTGCCTATGGGTTTAATTTCTTTTAGCAAAGTATTGATAGTGTCTATTACCACTTAAAAAACGCGACGAGCTTTCGTCCATAGAGGTACATCGTGTATGCGCCCGTCCCCAATAAAAAAACGTATCTATTATACGGCAAAAAAATGTTTCCAAAATAAAAACATATACCGCAAAAAAAAACCACCGTTCCCTTTTTTGCGTTTCTAATATACATTTATATGGCAAAAAAAAAGACTCCAAAATAAAAACATAAGCGGCAAAAAAACCACCGTAAAAAAACATGTTCCCGTTTGGAAAAAAAGATCCTATATAGCAAAAAACGTTTCCGAAAAAAAAGACATATATGGAAAAAAAGTTGTTTCCGAAACAAACTCTTCCACATCAAAAATCATATACGACCAAAAAATACATTTAGGAAAAAAAACTCTTCCACATCGAAAATCATATAAAGAACTGATTACAGGCCGATGAAACAAATCAGGCACATATTCAAACAGAGGAATTCAGCAAGGGCTTTGCTGATGACAACAAAAAGATCATGCACATATTCATACACAGGAAATCTTTGCTGTCACCGACGAAACAGATCATGCACATATTCATGCACAGACAAATTAGAGGAATAAACTCTCTCTGTGCGAAAATAAATTAATCTCCTAAAATCAAATAAAACTGTTTTAATAAGATAAAAGAAGTTTATCTAAAGTAGACATATGCAAATAACAATTCCCTCAAATTCACCATAGATAGCTGTGGTGAACACGGTGTTGCACTATAAAATGGATTTAATCGATTTCAAGTGATCATGTCAAGATCACTATTCATACTTCACTTGACACGCCGTCGTGTTCTACCCGGTTCTGATACGAAGACCAAATCTATGTGTCCGCGTCTGATACGAAGTCTTCAAACCTCACGCGTTCTCGTCCGACCCGATTCTATTACAAAGACAAAATCTATGTATTCGCATCCAATACAAAGTCCTCATAGCTCACAATTCGTGCAACGCACGGGCATTTATCTAGTATTGTAATAAAAAGAGTAAAGTCTGATTTCCCCGCTAAAATTGACATCGAATTTAAAAAAACACCCTCAAACTAAATACCAGACAACATCTCCCCTTAATTTTCAAAACCGGACAAATCATAACCCCTAAAATAGTTTAGAGTGGTTTCAATGTTGGTTTTAGTTGATGTGTCACATATGTGACATGTGGGCCGCACATGTATTTAGTTTTTTAACCATGTCGTCTTTTATTAAACATTTGGACTCCTAAATGATCTGAAATGTTGAGCACTACAAATTAGGGATAGAGCATTTCTCCATCTGAGAACTAAAAAAAATGGGAAAAATAAAAAATGTCATAATTAGAGAGCTAAAACACTAAAGAAACCACTTTGCAATAGTCAAGGGGTATTTTGTCCGGTTTTAAAAGTTAAGATATGTATTTATCTGACATTGAAGTTTAAGTAAGGTGGCCTTTCAAATTCAGTACTAGTTTAGGGGTGAATCGGACTTTACTCTAAAAAAAGCGGTGGACATAATATTACTTGACTTTCAAAATCCCCATACACATATATAGTATGCCGCCTTAGAAAAAGAAACACAGGAAGTATATTTCTGTAGCCTTTAATATCTGTGACAAGCTAAGGTGCAGTTAGTCTAACTGTTTCTTGCATAATTATTCATAGATTGGAGCCCAGGAAGGGGTACTGCAACCGGATGTGCAGCGTGAGGATGGCTTGATGGATCACCGACCAGCGTGGATCACAAAAGGCATAATGAAATCAGCAGCTGCACCACTCCAACCACAACGCGAGCCAGTTTTGGAAAGTGTGGATGGTTCGCTTTGTTATCAAGGGTCACGAAATGCATCATTTTGGGTGGCGCACAAGGCGTTGGCTTCCTTAGAGGACAACCTGCTCAAGGACTGGGCAGCCACCATCAACCTTGGCCCGGGCGTCACGGCCCTCCAGCTAGAGCTGCTATCTGTCAAGGCAATTCTTGAGTCCACCCTAGGCAAGGTGATACACAACTCAGCGCTTGAGCACTGTCTAATGATGCTTCAAGACCTCGTATATGACGCTGAGGATGTGGTGGACGAGATGGAATACTTTCACATCCAAGACATGCTAGACGCCAGCCAGCATGCCGAAGGTTGCGCCCACAACCTGGACCTTAATGTGTTGCCATCTATTCATGATGAACCACCAAAGTTGAGATTTGATAGGGACAATGCCTCCCGAAGAATAGAACATATTGTAGAGCAAATGCAGCTCATTGAAAAGAAGTTCTCTAGTGCTATTAAACTATTAGGTTCTGACTGGAGCACTACCCCAAACATTGCACAAAATCGCCCCATCACCATCTCTGAAAGTATAGAGCCAAAACTGTATGGGAGGGAGCTTTTGATGAAGAGGATCATAGATGATATCACAAAGGGTAAACACTGTCATGGCGTCCTCACAGTTATTCCAATTGTTGGTCCAGGGGGCATAGGAAAGACAACTCTTGCACAACATATATATCACAATGGAGAAGTACAAGAACATTTTGATGTCAGAGTTTGGACATGTGTCTCACTCAATTTTAATGTGAATAAGCTGATAGAAGAGATTCAAAGATATATCCCTAAAGTTGATCGTGAAAGTAGTAATGGTACTGCTAGTGAGTTGATTGGGCAAAGATTTAAAAATAAGAGGCTTTTGCTTGTATTAGATGATATATGGGACTGCAGTGATGAGGATGAATGGAAACAGCTATTGGTGCCATTCAAAAAATCACAAGTACAAGGTAATATAATTATAGTTACAACTCGATTTCCAGCACAAGCACAAATAATGGTTCGGAAAAATGATCATTCAATATATTTGCAAGGTATAGAAAAAAAAGAATTTGAGGAATTCTTCCTAGAAATTATCTTCGGTGATGATGATCAATCTAGAAAGGAGCATAGATTCTTGCTAGAAACTGGGTTTAAGATAGCTGGTAGACTAAAGGGCTCCCCTCTTGCAGCTAAAACTGTTGGTAGATTGTTGAAAGCCCATCTTGACTTGGTTCACTGGACTCGAATCTTAGAAAGTAAGGAATGGGAGCATAGTAACGGCAAGAATGACATTATGCCCTGCTTTGAAGTTGAGCTTTGATTACCTATCTTCTCAGCTTCAGCAAAGTGTTTCTCCTCATTGTGCTTTATTTCCTCAAGATTACAAATTCAAAAAAGAAGAGCTAATTAACCACGGATAGGACAAGAAGCTTTGCATTATTCACCACATGGTGAAAGTAAAAGAGTTGAAGATATCGGGCTAAGTCATTTGACTGAGTTGGTTAATTATGGATTTTTGGAAGATGAAGGGGAAAAGGATGGAAGAACTTGTTACATCATTCATGATCTCTTACATGAATTAGCACAAAAAGTTTCATCACTTGAATGCTTTAGCATAGACACTCAATCTCAAGTGAGCTCCTTACAAATCCCGACATCAATCCGCCACTTGTCTATCAACATAGATGATACCAGTGTGAACAATAGATTGACTCAAAAAAATTGTGTGGAGGATATCAATACATTGCACACAAGATTAAAAGTTGAAAAACTGCAAACTTTGATGATATTTGGGAAACACCACGGTTGCTTTGTGAAGGCTTTTGGTGATTTATTTAGGGAAGCAAAGGCCCTTCGTGTTATTTTTCTATCAAAAGCATCCTATGATGTGGAATATTTGTTGTGCAACTTTTATAGTCTGCTCCATCTTCGCTACCTTCGAATTGAAAGTTCTTCTCTATATAAAGCCAGATTTCCCAACAAAATTTCTAGATTTTATCACATGATGGTCCTAGATGCAGAACAACTTTGTGACATCATAGATCTACCAAGAGATGTCAACAACCTTGTAAAATTGCGCCATCTTCTTGTTCAAGATGATACAATACACTCTAGCATCACGAGGTTGGGAAACTAAAATCATTACAAGAGTTGCGAAGATTTATGGTCAAACAAGATGATCAAGGTTTTGAATTAAGGAGATAGGACATTTGCAAGAGCTCTGTGGGTCACTGTGCATTGATAGTCTTGAAAATGTTCAGGTACCGGAAGAAGCGAGATGAAGCAAAATTGATGCTAAAAAGCCACCTACATGAGTTGATACTACGTTGGAATGTTAATTGGTTTACTGATGATTCGCACTCGAAAAACATGTTCTTGAAAGGCTTAAGCCAAGTCGAGATCTTGAAGTTATCCATTATAGGGGCACAGAGGAGGCACTTGCCCTTCATGGCTGGGTTTGAACCTCTCACTCGGTAGTCTGAAATCTCTTTGTCTAGATGATGTAAACTGGAAAACATTTCCACCTATAGGAGATTTGTGGTTAGTAGATGTGCCCCGTGAGGAAATCTCAATCAATATCCCTGAGAAGAGGTTTGGAAATTTGAGAAGGCTGGAACTTATACACTTGTCAGGGTTGAAAACATGGGCTGTACATGCCCCCTGTCAATTGTTTCCTTATTTGGAAGTGCTTATCATTTGGGATTGCTCTCAACTTGTGGAATTGTCATTTTCACATTCTGCCGGTTGTTGTCAACAAGGGAAAGATGCAAATGACAATTTATTTCCTAGACTGAAGGAGCTCAAGATTAAGAGATGTCCACAACTATTGTCATTTGCACCCATTCCTTGGACTGAAGCTCCGTGCGACATTGAAATAAAAGGAATTTCATCTCTTGATAGATTGGTTTATGGAAAAGAAAAGAGTTATTTGACCATTGAGGGAAATAATAAGGATACAAATGATAGCACGGTTTGGGATGTGCTAGCTTTTCATAATCTAACTGGACTGGAGGGCTTGTGCCTGTACTGGTGCCAATCTCTGCCACTGCATTACTTACAAATGCTATCATCCCTAAGGACCCTACGTATGTCTTATCCGAGTAATGTCTTTCCACTTGTTGAAGCTGACAGCCATGTCAAATACCAGTTTCCAGTTGAATCGCTGGCCATCGAGGGCGTGTGGAGTCCTAGTGGGAAAGAGTTGACACAGCTACTTGTCTACTTCCCAAAGCTCTCAGATCTGGAGCTGTGGTTCTGTGCAAAGGTAACAGGGCTGGCTGTGAATGTGGGGACAGCACGCAACAGAGACGCCCGGAACAACAACTTCAGCTAACAAAGAGGATCAGCAGCAGGATGCAAGAGCAAATGTCGACGTAATAGTCGCATCAGAAGAAGCAGAACATGGCCTATTGATTTTGCCTCCCCAACTGCAGGACCTGGAGATCCATGGCAGCCCAAAGCTGCGACTCCTTGGCTCCAATCCACATGACGACAGCAACAAAGATGGACGAACTGGGCAAGGAGGAGGCCTCCGGGGTCTAAGCTCCCTCCGAAGGCTGGAAATCGAGAATTGCCCCGAGCTCCTGTCCTCATACTCTTCTTCATCCTTCTCTTCTTCTTTCCCCTTGCCCAACTCCCTGGAACACCTTAGTATTTCAGGAGCGATGGGCACGGGGGCTCAACTGCCTCTATCAAACCTCACTGCTCTCACAAGTTTATCCATATACCGATGTGGGGATTTAAGAGGCGAGGGACTGTGGTCTCTCCTCGCCCAAGGCCATCTCAACGAATTATCTGTTCAAGGAACGCCCAATTTTTTTGTTGATTCCGAACAGGAGATTCCATCCTGTTCCTCAAAACTGCAGAGGCTCGAAATAGATGATGTGGCTGGATTCACTGCTGCGGCCATTCGTCATAGCCTGCTCTTTTCCTCGCTCACCGAATTGTGTATTTGTGTGGATCACAAGGTGAAGAGCCTCACAGAGGAGCAAGAGGCCCTTCTGTTTGTCGACTCCCTCGAGGATATCACATTAAGTGGCCGGCACAACCTGCAGTCCCTCCCTGAACGGCTACCTAGACATCCCAACCTCAAGAGGTTACACATCTTGACGTGCGGAGCAATCCAGATGCTGCCCAAGGAGGGCCTCCCAAGTTCACTGCAAGAGTTGGATATCATAGACTGTCCAAAAATCCAGTCACTGCCCAAGGTGGATGACCTTCCAAGCTCCCTGCGATATTTAAATGTCCGTTACAGCGGAAGCGAGGAGCTAAGGAGACAGTGCCGCAAGTTGATAAATATCATTCCAATAGTCCAAGTCTGACAAACCCAAGGTAACAAAGAGGTGGAACTTCCCACCCATCAATTTCCCTTGCTTCTCCCTAACCCCATAAACCTCCGTCATTCTTGTTTCGTTTATTTGGCCACAATTGATGTTTTCTTCTAGGTAATCCGCTTGTTTCCATCTGCTGTGCAGGGAATTTCTTCATATTGTGTATTATTGTCCTCTGGATTCTCTCTCTCTATTCACAATTTTCAATTATAATAATCTCTGCACATGCCTTCCACCCTATACATCAAACTGGTAAGTGCCCTGTGAAACCACCTCTGTAGTCTCATACTGTCATACAGCTATTTACATGTTCAGACTGTTGCTTATTTGATGCTTGACCCAGTTATTTATGCACTTATTAATGCCTTTTGTTTTGTGTGTAACAATAACCTATATACGTTCTCGATCAGGTGAATATGTTTAATGTACTCCTGCCTTGCAGTTCTCAATCTCAGAAGATTTATTGAAATACGGATGCTGCTGTATGTTTTTTTTTCTAATCAATGGTCTGCACTCTTATGAAACCCTGTTCAGCAATAAATGGTTTCAGCCTTCCCATGTCTCTTGGATCTGAGAAAATATGATTGCTCTACTTCTAGTCTTCTAGGCAAGGTAATAACCACATTTCATAAAGTATGCTCTGTTTACGTTGAACATAATTGTATATACTCATTCCCCTGCAATCCAACAATGCATAATAGTGCAACCCGCTTGTTTTCATCTACTGTGCAGGGCACTTATTCATATTGTCCATTATTCTATCCTTCGGATTCTCTCTTTATATATTTACAATTCTGAATTCTAAAGAATGAATACCTCTGCACGTGCCTCCCACCCTTTACATACTCAGAATGTTTGCTTACTTGCTGATTTGATGCTTGTTCGATTATTTATGCACTTTTCCCTTATTAATGCCTTCTATTTTTTGTGTAACAATAACCATATATATGTTTTCGATCAAGTGAATTTGTTTAATATACTCCAGCCTTGTTGTTTCAATCTCAGAAGATTTACTGAAATATGGATGCTGTGTATGATTTTTCTAGTCAAACAGTTTGCACTCTTAGGAAAGCAAGTTCAGCAGTAAATGGTTTCAGTCCTCCCATGACAGCTGAAAATCATGCGACAATGCAAATTTTGTGCTCTTTGCTTTTCCCACATCTCAATGGCTATTGAAACCTCAGAGGTGGGCAGTGGAAAAAATATCTTTTGATCACTGAATTTACAAATAGCAGACACAATCCTAAACCATAATATTTTTCTCAAATGTCAAACAAAAACTGGACACTTGTGAAACTTTGTCCATGAAAACTGACATAATACTATTTTATTATGACAATATATTCTTAAAAAAGATGGGTGAAACAGGTCGAAATGTTTTCCTGGATAGATGCTGCTGCTCTGCGCCTGGGTTGCTAGAGGATCCTCTGTTCTGGTGGAGTTGTGGTGGTCGGCAGAGGCAAAGATGGATGGGAGGCTTCCATGGTCTCCTGCGACATGTTAAGGTGTCGCTTTGGTGTCGAACAGCCGGAAGAAAATAGCATTGCTGCTGCCTACTGATGAGATCAAAATCAGTTTTGTATGCTGGCATGCTGCTTTTGGGTGTAATAAGGCCAAAAATCAGATAAATCTACAATCTATTTTCATTCATGCCAATTTGGTTTCTTCCAAAGCTTTGGAGCCTTCTAGTGCCAGATGCATTCAACAACTTGACAACTGAAATGAGGCCACACCTGTGTCCAGATGCATCTGACTGATTCAACTAGGAGGAGGTCGGTCGGATTTGTGGCAAGATGCATTTCGAAGTGCTGATTGCCATACAGGAGTGATGCTTGGAGCCAAACGTTTGCCAACCAAATTACCTTGTAATCAGGGATCATCAACCATTGAATTGTCATCACACGGCTCTGAGCTGTCAGCTAGTGAATGACAGGAGCCTTGCCTCTGTCTCTGTCACACCCCAGGTAGCACGCAACCCTGGTATGCTACCACACAACTCTACAAAGTTGCTGAACTCATAGTTTTTGGCAACCTCTAAATAAAAGACAAACGCAAGCGGGAAAAAACATGTAAATAAGAAGATACACGTGGTATAACGAGCAAACTATACAAGGGGAAGAGACACGCAGGATTATTATGTCTAAAAATACAAAAGATAACATCTACTATCTTTATTATTTCATAATTCTACAATTACTATGTGATGATACAAGAGTGCAAGACGTGTTGCTAATCCCATCCCCTTCATGCCAGCATTCATCATTAATCACCTGGAAGAGAACAAAGGGGGTGAGATAAACTCAACAAGCAGCGGCTATGAATATACACATACCTTACACGTGTTGAGTTATTAAATTTGAAAAGCCATATGAACGTCCATAATTATAAGGAAAGTAAACGGACAAATAAATTGTGCAGTTCATATTGTGCCGACTTTCAAACATTATCATAGGACTAGAGTACCACGTCATCATGGTATTGATATTCTCCAAAACATCAAGTATTTGATTAACAAGATTTAAACCGAAAAGGAACCATGTTAGGGGGGATGAATAATTGAAGTACTCAACTTTCTTATGTCAACCATTAACCAGCCACTCAGAGGATCAGTAATCTGCAATTCCATATTCTGCAAATGGCATGAAATGTATATATATGCCATGATGCAACTCCATTTGAGAGTTTAATGTTGGACAATGCCAACCTCTCATGCAACTCCATGTACCGGTACTAGTCACTGCGCGATGGCGGTGACCGGCCATTAACTCCATATGAAATGCATATATATGCATATGAATGATCATGTATGCATAACTCCATAGTGCAACAATTATAATATAATAATCTGCAACCATCATCTCATAGCAACAAGCAGCATCGACATGATAAATAAATCCATAAACGATATATACATAAGCAAGAATAAAGGTAAACTATATTATTAGTCTTGTTGTATTTTATTTAAAAAGAATGCAAGACACGAATATAAGCATAGCATTAGCCACACCCCTATGTTGCTTGCCTTTTTCACCGAAAAAACAACCTCGACAAGCACGTCTAAGAGCGATTATTTGGCGCACTTCCTGATAAAAAAATAAATATATGGATCTACTCAATAAATCATGCATAACATATTAAGAGTAAATACACGTCTCTATGCTTAGTCCATCACTCTCCACATTTTCTAATTGCAAAAGATACCCTTAAAAAGGAATTCACCTTGCAAGACAGCCAAATACAAAACTCAGAGCAGAACTTGCTATTTTCATAACTATTTCTATACAACAGCAAATGCAATGATCGAATACAGTAAAAACATCTACTTAAAATTTCCTACAACTTTGTTATGCACCACAAAATCTAATTCGGCCTTCTTCTATTTGTAATCTGGGCCACAATGTTTTCACTCAGATCTGAAACAGTTTGCAACAGTAACTTCGAAAATCCACATGTTCTAAGATATTCAACTGCTACACTTCTGATATCGTAGATAAAGTAGTAGTCTACAGACCTCTGATTCATCTAAAGAAGAAACAGAAAGGAGATAAAAACGAAATTGATCTGATCTACTCAGTTAACCTAAACATGCATGATCTCTGTTTATTCCTTTGTGGTGCCCAGACCCAAACCAGAGGCTACACGTGAGCAATAGAAGGGAAATCGACTTATCAATTACCTACAAGCAAAATCGTCCTTCAAGCCACACTCATCCCTGGACTGCTACGTACCCTGCCCTTTGTCCTCCCTGCACACCACAACTCTGCGGATAACGAAGGAAGGACAGAGCCATGAGAAGCAGCAGCAGCCCCTTTCTCTCTGGCGATTCGTAGATGAAAAATCTCACGCACCTGCAGGATGGCGTGCCCTAGCGACGGGGAGGACGAGATGGAGAGCGCCGCCTCCGACGAGACGGAGAGGTTACGGTAGAATTTCTATTTTTGTTTCCTAACCCCTTAACCTTCCTAACTGGACTCTAATTGGGCCTTTGCTTTCTCCTTCTCTAAGCCCATTAGGCCCAAAGACAAATTAATTATTTTTTTACTGGATGGATGTTACAGTCTCTCTCCCCCTCGTGTAAGTCTTTTATTTCTCTTGTCTTGTGCCTATTTCTTATACCTTTTTCGTTCAAGTGTGCCAAGTGAAACTGAATGGAATGATACACGAACATGGCAGCATGTTTATCTCATCGGTTTCATGATCGTCGATCCTGTCCCTGGGGCTGCGGATACGGTATCGGTGGCCGGCCGCTGGACCAAGCAGAGGGTCCTCTGCTCCGTCCCCTGCATTCAGCGATCGACATCGAGCATCTCCAGTGCAGTCCGGGCACCGCCGGCTCCCGGAGTCTCAGGGCACCCAAACCTCTGCGTGGGAAATTACACAAGCTGCAGGAGCTCAAAGACGCCTACTACATACTCAAGAGTCCTGGTTGGTTGACGCCCACGGAGCTTGACATGGAGGACAGGAACGATATAGATTAAAGCACCGAGCAAGCTGCTGGGTCACGGTGGCAGCTGCTGATAAACAGCGTGCTGGTGCCTGCGAATGTAAAAAGGAAAACATTTTTTACTTGAAACTTTGCATCCCACTTGAAGTTGTCGTTTGCTTTGTGTATACTTTCCTAATATTATGACCCACTTGACTCAGTAACGGCTAAACATGCTGCCGATTCGTTTTTTAGTTTTTTTTTTCGCCCAAGGGGTTGGTGCGCTGCCAAATAGTACTATATCAATTGTTTTCGCCATTCATCTCACACTTGCCATATAGTTATTTGTTTCCCGAGAGCATATCCATCAATTTCTAACACACAACATGTAAAACCTATGGCTATTCTAACTCATAAAATAGAGTAGGGAGTGAATTTATTTTCTATCTCCAATAGTTTCCAAAAACTCGCTCCTATAAAATTAAAACAAAGTCACCAAACGTTTTTCATCCAGCCCCAGTTACCGTTCGCTACCTTTAGTTGAAATGGGAAATCAGAGATCTTAAAA